ATGCGTAAGGCACTGGGTTCGATTATCAGCACCACATAATGATAAATAAATAAAATAAAGATATCGTGTCCAGCTACAACTAAAAATATATTTTTTTTAAAATGAGATAAAATGGGCTGGAGATGTGGCTCAATGGTACAGTGCCTCTGCRTTCAATCCCAGCACCTGCCCCCCGCAAAAACAAACAAACATTTGTGGCAGCATAACTTTGATTTACTTAGATGTGAACTAAATAAAATTAGCAAGAACAGAGGCAGGAGTAGCACCTCTAGTTAAACAATTGCTACAGATGTTTGTGTGTGAATATATAGGTGTGTAGTTAAAAGTCCTTAATGGTGTTCTCTGAAAACTCCTCCCCTCCTTTTTCTTTGAACTAAATTTTTATAGCTTGAGGCAATCGAAAAAAATAACTTAGGATTCCATGCTCCTTGTCAGTCTATGAGACTAAAGGTATGTTTTGGACAGCCTTGCAGAGTCATTCCTTATTATGGTTCTTTGGTTGGTGCCATGTCACCAACGATGCTGGCATGCCTCTGACAAAGAGAAGATCATAGCATGACACCTAGTAGCACTGAGGAACACTTAGTGTTTTTCAGCTCTTGTTTGAAATGGAAGTATTTATTTTATCTTTCCCTTATGAATCCTTACTAGCAATAATAAGTGTTCCTCTTTAGGAAATAGGTTTTACCTAATTAGAAAGTAATGCATATATACATTGCTCACATAATCAAGTAATTGCTTCTAGTCTGTCCTTCTTTCATCTCTTTGATGAGCTTGCTGGGAGTCTTAAAAGAATATGATAGTACATACTGTTCTTGTGAGCACTCCTCACCCCACCTGTTCTCTGTCAGTCTGTTTGGTAAATATTGGTTCTTTCCAACTCATAGACGCTCATGGATGCCTACTGTAGAATTATCTAGTTGGTGTATGGGTCTTTTCTAGGCTGTAGAATTTGGTGGTGTGGTTCCTCAGAGTCACATGATCAGTTGCCTGTATTGGGCTGGGTTGAGTCATGTCACCAAATATAGCCTACGCCTTCTGCATGATGTATGCAAGGCATCTGGCTCCAAATGCCACAGCTGGCCTCCAGAGACTACTACTTTTCTTGTCATAATAGCCCTTAAGAGAAGTAGTGCTGATCAGGCAGTGTTTTTTTAATATTTGTAACACAATCAATACCAAGAGCCTTTGAAGGTTGAGTTTTACTCATCAAATAGAGTTAAGAGTCACTTGCAAATCCTAGTGCCTTCTTTCTCCCTTCAAAATTAAATTACAAATGTACTCAAACCTGGGTTCTGTTTGTAGATAGGTGAGTTATCACAAACTAGCCAAATGAAACCACAGGCACTAGGTTCTGGTCACATTCAGGTATCTCAGTTATTTTTGTTTTCCTTGTGGATTCTGGTGTTTAGGGTTCAGTGGAATGAGATAGCCTGGGGCTTGTGCAGAAGGCTCAGGTTGCTGAATTTGAAGAGCTCTAGTTCCTAAGGGCTGGGGGAGGGATGGTGATTATGTAAAAGAGATGAGAAGCAGCCAGATGCCGAAACGATTGCCTACAATTTGGCAAGTTAATTTAAAAAGAGGCTTCCTTTTGGGAAGGGTCTTCTAAAGAAGGTAAATCTGAAGCAAAAATCAAAAAAACTCTTCAGAAAACTATCTCAGAACCCCGCACATTGATGTTTATGGCAGCTTATTTATAATTGCTAAAACTTGGAAGCAACTGAGAATCCTTCAGTAGGTGAATGGATAAATAAACTATGGTCCATGCAGACAACCGAATACTTGTTACTCAGCGCTAAAAAGAAATGAGCTATCGAGCCCCAAAAGACAGAGAGGAAATTTAAATGTTTGCTACTCAGTGAAAGGCTTTTATTCTGGATTTCAACTCCGTGACATTCTGGAAAGGGCAAAACTGTGGATCCAGCCAAAAGATCTAGGGAAGAATGATTAAGTGGCTGGCGTCCTGAGAACTTCTAGGGCGGTGAAGCTGCTTCGCGGGTGACTGATGCTGGACATATGGCACTGTACGCCGATCAGACCTGCGGACTGCACAGTGCCAAGATGGACCTCGTGTCGACTGTGACCTCCGGGATAGCCAAGTGGAGGTTCATGGTGTGACAATGTGCCACTCTGGTGTGCGATGTCTATCATTGTGAGGCTCTGCACGCGGGAGGCAGCGGGTGTAGGAAATCTGTGTACCTTCCTCATAGTTTTGCTGTGAAACTAAAACTACTCTTAAAAAAAATCAGGTCTTTAGATAGATGGACTAAAAGAAATATGCCTCAACTACAGCCACCCCTTGGTGGGAAGGTAGCATGTGGAGCCCTGGGTGCTGTCAGTGTCATGGCCCTGGAAGGGCGGAGGGATATTAGAGCGGAAGTGAAACAGGCTGTGCGAGGAGTCCCGGGGGCACTCGCCAAGGCCGCCTTGGGGACTCCCAGGAGGGACGGGAGGAGCTCTATTCTTAACTGTAAGTGACTCTGGATAGTTTAGTTGTGGAAAGAATTTACAGAAGAGTAGGGCAGACAGGTTGGGGAAGCATTGTGAATGTTCCCCAGAAAATCTTCTAAGTGTCACTGCTTGAATCTTAAAATCGAAGTAGAAAGAATAACTGGCTGTTTAAGGAAATGTCATGAGCGTACTTGCTACTTGGAGACCAAATTTGAATCTAGCTTGACAAGAATCATATTACAAGATCAGGTCAAAAAAATCAAAAACAAGTATCTTTTTGTGTGTGTGTGTGTCTAGGTGAGGGGTAGAATTACTATATTCAGAAAGGCTAAGAGCAGAAAAGGTGTCCAAGGTCACCTATCCTTGGAGTGAGGGTCTGTCTCTTTAGGAACTGTGCAGTGAGGCAAACTCTCTACTGAGTTAAGGGCATCTTCTAAGTAAAAGATACCCCAAAAGATGAGTTTCTGATGAGATAGAACTTCCTTGGTTCAGCTGGGCCAGCCAGTTTGGTAATTTGTCTTTTGCATTCTCATTGTTATTGTTTTTCTCCTTCTTTAGTATCAAATAAGAAACATTTGGTTCATATAGAACAGCCATGACTTCAATTGTACTGAAAGCATTAAAAAAGTTAGAACATCTCCTTAGAATAATAATCTAAGGATTATATTAATCTTCAATTTCAATTAATATAATTAAATATTTTTATTTCTGTATTGAATAAATCATCTTTTAAGCATGTTTTATAACACATGAAGGTGGTATGTGATAGCTCCTTGTTAGTGCGTTTACTGGAGTATTCTACAGCTACCCTGGTCATACATGCGTTCCATCCCAGCTGGTTGGCTGCTACTTGGAGTTAGGTGATTCAGAAACTGGGCTTCGCCCCCTGAAGTTTTTAACAGTTCAAGTCATGTTCCTGTGCTTAGCATCTGAAGTATATACTTTAAAAAATATATATTTGTGACAAGTAACAAGATCCAGGCTAGTTAAAACAATTGTAATGGAGTTTACTAGATTTAGATACTTGTCTGTACGTTACCATTAATGAATGAAGCCAGTTTGTAGAAACAAATTGAAATGTAGAAATTAATTTTTACCTTCTTCGCTCTTATCTCCATACCTGCTGTCACTCCCCAAGAAGGAATAAGCTGAAATTTTAAGTGGAACAATTTAACTTTAGAATGCCATTTTATTTGGTTTAAACTGAGTTCTGATTTTTCATGATAGACTCCAGGCTTTGGGTTTGGATTGATTAAAGCTGCTGGCCGTAAAGAACAGTTTTCTCTTCTCATGGCAGGAGTTCATTACCATGGAGACCGTTTCAGAGACATGGGATTCTAAAACAGGGAAGGTCTAAAGTTCCTTCCAGAAAAACTGTTATTATGTGGCTGCACACTTGCTCGGGTCCTGAGTATTCAGCAAGCTAGGAAAAGTCTCACTCCAGGCTCAGGGCTTGAGACAACCTCTTTATCCACTTTTCAGAGCCTTCAGAGTCACAGTTCTGAGAGGTCTGAGAGGTCAGTACTAAAGGAGTGTTGGTAGTTCTGAGTCAATTTTAAATTTGCACACTATTCCTGATTCATAGAGTGCTGGACCATGGCAGAGAGTGACCCACCAAGGTTTTCTGTCCATTTCTTAGCAAGTCTTGCTGAGGGCTCATCACCCTTCTTCTAATGGGTGTGGATGGGCATGTGAGCTATGGAAACTTAAAATATACCATAGTGATTTTATTTTATATCTTCTAGTGTATGTAGTATGCACTCTTGAGAAGCTGTGGTCTAGGTTCTTCAACTTACATGTAAAAGCTCTTCCAAAACATAAATGTCATTCCTTCAGGGTAGAAAAGATCCATTGCCTTTCCCCCATTTATTATGGCTATGATTTTTGAAGACAGCTTATCCAACATTTTTAGTATGTCTATAAATTCATTAAGGAGGGGCACCTTGGATGATCATTTTAGGTTAAACATTTTTGAACTACTGCAAAATTCAGAGGAATCTCAGGATTTAGTAAGAGCCTATTATTCTTGGGTATAATGTTARGGACTTTCGTTATTTCTTACTATGTGTAAGTGCCATTAGACAGTCTTTAGTATGTATTGACCAAAGTCTGAATTTAAGCTTGTCTGTACATTCAGGCATCAGCTAGCACTTTTGTTATGGGCCACATAGGAAAATATTATTGCTAATTAGATATTTGTAAAAAGTAACAAAAAACTGCACAAATGAAAAAATGTGAAGATTGCTATTATAAGTTGGAGTTACAACACAATGGTATAAAGAAAATTACTTTGGGTGGGGATTTGGAAATTGGAATGACTTAGTTGTTAAACATGAGGGATATTGTATTTTGTCTCCTCCAAACTTTCTCTTTTTGAATTTTGGGGAACATGTTGATTCATTGTTTTCTATAGCACCACAAAGTTTGGTCTTATAATACAGATTTTTAAATACTTTGCCTATTAAAAGCAATCAGTTCAGCTGTTATTGAATGAGTTTAAACCATCAATGAAAAAAATAAATTTAGTAACGGCCTTCTTTTACCTTCAGGTCGTCTAAACTATTCATACCCAGGATCCGATAGCTCTCTGCTTATTAATGGTAAGTGATAATTGATTTACCACAGTGAAGTTCACAAAGCAGAAGTCAGTACTAGGGGAGAAAATACAATTAATAGAGAAATTGTACTTCAATTAGTAGAGAAAATGACATTAATTGTTCTGCAATGATAGTTGAAAGTTGCTACTAATAAGCTATTTTAAAATAATTCTTTCCCCTAAAAATTGGGCAGGATTTTTTTTTTTTTTTAAGAAAACTTGGGTGCTGATTCCCTGTCTTGAAATTGCTAACAGTAAATGAGAATTCCACATGATAGATAAAGACCAGCTTTATTGAACATTACCTTCTGAAGAGTGACCTTTGAAATGTCAACATAAAAGCCATTTCTGTGTCAATGGAAAACTGTGCCAGAAAAAAGAGGATAATCAGAGATCTAAAACCAGATAGAGGCAGCCCGAGACCACAGTGCTTGACATTGGGAAAGACAAGGTCATTCACTGCTGCCAAAGGAGATCAGGGAAAATGAAGTTTGTTGGCTTTTACAGTACCTTCTGTAGATTCTCTCATTACCTGTTCTAAATTTTACTTCTGTGCTAATGAGTATGTGTGTAGAAGCAAGTTGAGCTTTACAGAGAAGGGCATCTCCTCATAGAATTAAAGAATTGCAAAGTGTCTGTTTTTTAGTGTTTAGAATAGCTGAGTAGAATGCACAGGTCTTGCTGATTTCTTTTCTTCTCATTTACTGTTGCTGTGTTTTCTTGGCCAAAGTTCATTTTAAGTCCTACAGTCTCCAAGAAGTATTCTCGACCAAATAGCTGTGTTCTCATTATTTCCCAATCAACAACCAGAAAACAAAACAAAACAAATCAAAACAACAACAACAACAAAACCTTGTCTATGGTATGTGGTGAATTGAAAATTAGTTTTGTGAGTGCATCTCCTTTTGGTTAGTGTGTAAAGTCTGTGTGCTGTGAGTTATAGGCTTGTCGAGCCAGAAAATGTTGGAAGGAGATTTGATTGATGAGACTTTGGTCTCAGACTTTGATCTCTTCATGCTATAGTGCGAGAAATAATATCATCATAATAATAGTTACAACAGAAAGCAATGCCTTAGGATTCCAGCATAAATAAAGATAATAGTAATATATAATAATAATTCCATGGTATAATATTCTAGCATAAAAGTGTGTAGTCCCAAATCCAAACCCAGGGGTGACAGTATCATCAGGATAAAGAGGATGTACCTGCCCTGAAGCAGGTTTCGCTTTTCCTGGGAACTAGTTCCTGCTCAGGTCCAGGTTCTGGGAAGTTCAGGGACCCACCATGTGGCTTACTGCTGTGTGTTCTCAGGCAGTGGGATCAAAGCTTCTGTGTCCCATTCCCCTCAGGAGGTTATTCAGTTGGATCAGTTGCCTTCAGGCTGCATCTTTGTTGAGGTAATAAGAACTCTCTAGTGGGTTTTTCTTTAAAGCAAAATTCATTTAATTAAAAAAATCCTCTATGATTATGAAGTTGCCTTTCCTTTTTTCTCCATTAATAGCCTTTCTTTATGAATAGGTTAGTTTTAATGACCCTTATTTGGCAAAGAAAACCACCCCTACAACATTTATGTTTTGAAATTTTACTGCTTCATAAACTCTGGAATGGTTGGTTTTTACTGCTGCTCATATGGAAGTTTTGGTTATTATAAAGGTGTGTTGGCTGAGGTTAGCATTGACTCAAACCAAGAGACATGAAATAAAAGAAGAACCAAAAGAGATGTCAACAAGGGGAACCTTCCTGGCTCCTCAAGCCAGGAGCAGCAGTGCAAGGTCTTGCCTTGGCCTCTGGCCTTGATTGTAACAAATGTGATCAAGTGTTAGGTTTTAGTGACCAACCAGCTAGGATCAGCTGCCAGTATATTCATTTATAAGGAAGAAAAACATTCCAGGTAGGTTGGATGCTGGTAATAGACCCATTCTCTCTACAGTAGAAAAGTCCAGATTATAGCAGAATATTGCTGAAAAATCATGAAATTGAACAGGTGAGGTGGTGCATGCCTGTAATCCCAGTGGCTCTGGAGGCCGAGACAGGAGAATAGAGAGTTCAAAGCCAGCCTCAGTAATGGTGAGGCACTAAGCAACTCAGTGAGACCCTATTTCTAAATAAAATACAAAATAAGGTTGGGGATGTGGCTCACTGGTTGATGCCCTGATTTCAGTCCCCAGTTAAAAAAATAAAATAAAATCATGAAATTGAATCTAGGCCGGGAAGGAGGCATTGAGACCAGCCCTTATTCACCTTCATTTAGATGTGGGCATTGTCTGTTCCCTACTCAAATTCATAAAACATCCTCTAGAGCAGATCACTTATAGAAATCATCTATAGAGGTAATTTCATTTCATTCCTGTATATTTCTTACTAGCTTTGTTCTTGCTGTATCTCAGGTTTTGGGTAGCTATATTAAAAATCTCATGTCATGAATTGTGCTTAATGAAGATAAACTCAAGAATTACAGATACCTGCCACCTCCTGAGGTTGTGGTGACAATTATAAATGCATATAAATCATTTCACATGACACCTGGCACATGTTAATCAAACTAAAATAATTATAGTGATTTTTTTGGTCATAAATTTTAGTGCTAAAGGAAAAATTACAAAACAATGGGTTAAGAGGATTTTTAAAAAAACTGTCCACTATTAAACATGCTTTCTGTGTCTACTACTGAGATGGATGACCTAAAACTTGGTTCGAGTCCCAGTGCAGTCCCTCCATATCTTATGGCCATGGAACCTTTTATTAGAGCTGAAAATAAATGCTTAATACATGGTGTCAAATTGCAGTTATAGAAGGGAACTCTAGGGACCTGTCTGTCCTTGTCTGCTGTAGCCAGTCTGTTCAGGCTGTAAGAGGCCTGTAGAGGTGGTGGCCTGGCCTCTGTACTGTTCAGCTGTGACTTTCAGAGCTCTCTTTCCAAGTATCTGAGCCTAGAGGCATTTCTTGTTTGGTTTGGATGAAAGTAGTTAGAGCTGCTGTTAGCTTCTTTTTCAGGTGAACATTGTAACACAAACATTTGAATTTCCACTATGATTTTATTATCCAACTTGTTTTGAAATGTTCAAGCAATCTCAAAGCTTTTGAGGAAGAAATGGGGTTTAAGTTCTAAATAAATAAAGGAAAAAAAAAAGAGCCTTCCACAAGTTTTGGCAGTTTATATTGGAATAACCTTGACATTTGCCTGTACACAGATAAAAGGAGCTTACTCATCCACGGATCAAATTACTTATTATTATTTGGCCCTGCTCCTCATCAGCTTTCATGCTACCCGGTGACCTTCATATGTCACTTATGACTTTTAAGAGTCATTGCCAATATAATTCAGCAAATAATGATTTTAAAAAAAACTCTGCTAAGAATATTGCAGAGTTCATTTCAGAAAATTATTCAACTTGTTGCTGTGTGAGATTAGTTATAGAGGTTTTTTGTTTTGTTTTGTTTTGTTTGCAGGGAGGTCAGGGGATCTTGGGGGAAAATTCTTAGATTTCGAATGTATTTTAAAAAACTCACTTTGTGTCCACTTTTTGGATACTGTTTTATTTTGCTGGAGCTGCCACAACAAGTACTGCAGGTGGTGTGCCTTAGACAACAGATTTCCCTCATCCTGGAGGCTAGGTGTATTCTCAGGGTGATTTCTTCTGAACAGCTCTCCCTGGCTTTTAGGCTGTTGTGTGTTCACGTGCTCTTCCCTCTGTGCTTGTCTGTGTCCGTCTCTTCTTAGAAGGACCCCAGTGATATTGGATTATGGCCCACCCCAATGACCTCATTTAACTTCAGCCCTTAAATACCCTATCTCCAAGTGCAGTCATGTCCTGAGGCCCTGGAGGCTAGGACTTCAACTTTGAATTTTGTGAGTGGGTGGGGGGGACAGAATTCAGCCCGTTAGCTGATGCCTTTGACAGTACATCTTATGTCATAGGAATGCAGTGAGCATATCCATTTTCTCATGGCACAGCTTGGTTAAGCTCTGCGGTAGATGTTAGGTGAGAGATTAATTTTTTTTTTTTTTAACTTAAGGAGACTATGCAGTTGCCACCACCTCTGTATAAAAGTGCTGTGCATTGCTCTCTTTTTAAAATGCTTATTTTTCCCATCTCCTGTTTCACTTCTTCAGCCCTTAGGATTAGCTTCTTCAAAAATGAACCTATGCCCCCCAAAAAATTATAGAACAACAGGAAAATGTTAGTTTTTTWAAACAGATTTATCTATATATTCCTTTCTTCTAAGGCTGTCTGTTCATTTAGAAGCATCAACTAAATATTTGTTTGTTCCAGTGAAGGAGATTAGTAAGACAGTTTTTAAAGGCTAGCATAGAACAACATCTCCTTAGCTATAGTTGTTTGGAATGGAAGGAGGGAAGATGTCTGCTTGGGGTAGGGGCAGAAATCTATTAAAAAGGAGGGTATCATTTACCCAGGAGCACTGTGGATGATAGTCACTGAAATGTATGATATGGTTCTGGTGGCTAGAATACGGGGGGCCTGGTTAACTATCCTTTCATGAAAAAGGTGATGTGGGAACATTGTAAACTCATGTCCTCTACAGTTGTTCGTTTAGAATAGTAATGAAAAGCCCAGAGGAACTCTTGAAGATTAAACTAAGAATGACACATTTGACTTGTTTTTGAAAAAGGGGGAGATTACTTACTAAGCATGTGACTGTCCATCACATAAGCATGTGATATCTTCCCCTGGTCTCTCATTTGTTCCTTTTTCTTTCTAATAAACTGAGAATTAGAGGTATGCAGAAACTAGGGTTGCCCTTCTCTTGGGCAACTCTTTACAAATTAATAATGCATATCTTTACCATAGCTTATGAATGTTCTTTGAATGTTGTTGTACCTACAAGCTAATAAAAACTCAAGTCAGCTTGACATTGGGAATTGTAACTAGTAAGCATATATGTGGATTAAAAATTAGTGAGCCTGATAAATTTGAGGTTGATTAAAAAGGTAATTTGAATGACTATTGGCCTCCTTGTGTCATTCTTGAGCCATCCTCCTG